TTCACTTAGAGACGCACTGCAAACACAGTCTGAGGAGCGAGACAAAAAAGGATATCCCAAGGCTACTCTCATGGTATTAAATCTTCTACCTCCCTTCTCAGGCTCTGCTTAGGTTTCTTCTTTTTTGTCTCGCTCCTCAGACTGTATTTGCTCTGATAAGAATTCTTCCCTAAAGCAGGAGCTTAGGTGGGGATGTTTTAAGCCTTTGGACACACTAAAGCTAAAAAGAATAATAATGTATGCTGCAAATGCTGTAGCCAGGCACTGTAGCTCATTTCACACCCCGAAAGGTTTAAGTAATGAATAGAGCCAGGTGGGATTAGCCTGAAAGGGCTTTTTGGAGAAGGGTGGACCTTTCTTTTCAGATCGGAGGGAAAGAAAGGGATATATTTGGCAGGATAGAAGGTATGGGAGATCATTTTTTATAGGCAGGGGAATGGTGGATGGAAGGGATTTGGTGGCAAACCACCCTGCTAGGAGAGTCACAGCTTGCAGACCGATAGGTAAGCCCCATGACTGCACTGGCTGTACTTCAAAACAATTGCTGTATATTTATCATATTAATACCATACACCTAGCACTTTCCTAACCCAATGATAACCAATTTAAAAACAAAAACAAAACATGTCTGAACCTAATGAATTTCCTCTTTTGTGCAAACAATTGTATTGAAAGGAGAGAAATCGACGGGTCAGTCTGATGAGTGTGCAATGTTACCTTCTGGATGAGCTGATGCTAGGAAGAAAACAAACTGCTGACATCTAATAAAAACGTGACTGAGATGCGATTTTGAAGGGAGATTCTCAAAGACACAGGCTCTCCATGGACAATATCTTGGCACTTTGGACAATATGATCTATCTTAACATTATTTCCTCAGCTACATCTGGAGTGTGTTCAGGTATTTCTGTATAGGATGGCCAGAGCACACATCCTCACATTTACTATGACGTTTTCTCCTAGTGCACATATTTTCCAGCACATTATCACTTTATAAGGACATACACGTGAAAATTTCTTTAGAATTCAGTATCAGGTGTAACTAGTCTTCTCTGTGGAACTGGTAGCATTTATTTCATATCTCATAAAAAATTAAATGGCATTTAGTGTTTCTCTTTGAGTACAGTTTTTGAAGAATCTCAGACATAAATGTTAGTAATTGTCTTCCTTGGCTTTGTATGTTTTGTAGATTTGTCTAAATTTTTGGACCTTATTTTTATGTAGTATTCTATTAACCATTTTTTGTATGCTTTTTGTTATATACACCTCAGTTTCCTTTAATTTTTTAAAGATAGAGAGTATGTGAATGCCTACGAGAGGGAGAGAAAGAAGGAGAAACAGACACATCTGACAGATCTTATTAGGACATGCTCTCTTTTCCCCAGCCATCCAGCTCTTGGAATCCAGGTCACCTGTA